AAGAGTTTTTCGCTCTCGCGGAAAAGTGGTTAACTTAATCGCTCTACCGCGAAAAAGTTCGTCTCGCGGCGGCGGCAGCATTAGGGGCAATAAGCAACAGTCCGGAGACGACGATCCATCATTCTGGTCCTTCATCGCCGCCCTGAACATCCTTATACAATATATACATTTACAGGGTGGGCCAAAAAATGTGAGCCAATTTTTCTTAAACTTTAAATAGCTCGGTATAGCAAATTGAGCTGTGGCAATGAAAAAAGCACAAAATGAAAGCTTGTTCAATTCTCTTTCAAATGGTACGTAGTTTTATGATCTCAAGTGCCATAGAATGGTCACTAGAACCATTTGAATGAAAAGTTTACCCAAAAGAATTTGTCAGGAAATTTTTTTCAGTAAGCTGCCGTTCTGCAGAGCTTTTTGCATGAATAAAGGAAATTTCAGGATGCAATAAGTTTAACCAGGAAACTTCATGTTGTGTTGGAGAGCCTGCGCATTTTCCCAAAATTCAGAAGGAGGTGGTGAGAAGGGGGAGGGATTGGCAAGGCAAGGTAGGATGCTGCAAAGCTTGCATTGCGCTGTCCTCACAGTTCCCATCAGTGACCCACTGCATGCACATTTTTTCCTGGATGACTAGGTTGATCAAAATTAGTTCACTCAAAAGCAGATCAATTTAAAAACATTTTCACTTAAAATCAGTTTCTGCAATCCAGTCATATCCAGAAAAAAAGAAGTGCATGCAGTGGGTCACTGGGAGCCACATGAGGGCAGTGCCCAGCAGCATGCATGCCAGACAGGAGCCCCACAGCATGACAGCATCCTATCTTGCCAATTTCCATCCCCCTTCTCACCCCCTCCTTCTGAATTTTGGGAACATCTGCAGGCTCTTCCAGACAGCATGAAGTTTTCTGGTTAACTTATTGCATCCTGCATTTCCTTTATTCATGCAAAAAGCTTTCCAGAACAACAGCTTACAGTGGGAAAAATTCCTTACAACTTTTTTGGGGGAATTTTTTCATTTGAATGGTTTTTGTAGGCATTCTGCGGCACTTGGGACCATAAAACTACATACCATTTGAAAGAGAATTGAACAAGCATTCATTTGGTGCTTTGTTCATTGCCACAACTCAATTTGATACTGAGCTATTTCAAGTAAAAAATCAGTTCACTTTTTTTTTGCCCATCCTGTTTATCCACTGCGCCAACGGTGCAGGGTAAGGGCAGAACCTTGGGGAATAATTGTCTTTACTTTGGGAGTTTGGGTGGATACTTCACTTTTTTCAAGACCGCTTTCTTCCTTATACTGTATTATAATGTATATATTTTCGGAGATGGCTTTGTCTCATGATGGTTCATTCGTGCTGCATCACCTGCTGCCTTTCTCAGATTTTATCCCGGTTTATTCTGTATATATAAGAACTTGATTCGTGAAAAAAAGAGAAAATTGCGCGCAATCGTGTGTTCCTTCTCATTCCTCTCCTACAGATACATGCAATTTCTGATGAGAAAAAAATGACCTACGCAGAAAAGTGATCAAATCCGGTTACACGGTCGTTAAGGAAAATTATAATTTAATAAGGAAGGCGAAAATAAGAGGCTTATATAGAATAAAAGAGATCGATTTCGAAAATGATTTTATGCATATACGTACCTGAAATATCACGTTGATTTCGTGTATATCCGTCCGTTCTGGAACAGCAATGTCTAAATAATACACAAGTATTTAAATTATATGGATAATGCATACAATTTTGTTTTACCCAGTGAACGTCTCAATAATGCAGTACTTTCCAATGAGTCGACAGTTGAATGCAGGCACAATTTGTAAGACAAGCCTTTTTTTTTTAGATTTCCTGGAGTTTGTTTCGGCAAGGGACACTTCGTGACCATTGTTCACAAAAAGGCCACAATAGCTCATTCAAATTTAGTTTCAAGACTCGCACTTTCCACCCACGGAACTCATCATTTATCCCGGTCGCTCTTTTTTTTTTTTTTTATTCCTTGCAGGGGTGGTCGTTGGCGTGTTCCTGGTGTGCTGGGTGCCATTCTTCTGCGCAAACATCGCCGAGGCGTTCTGCAAGTGCGTGCCCAAGACGACTTTCCAGGCGCTCACTTGGCTCGGCTACTGCAACTCCTCCCTCAACCCGGTCATCTACTCCATCTTCAACACAGAGTTCCGCTACGCCTTCCACAAGATCATCGCGCACAAGTGTCCCTGGTTGTTGTGTCGGTGTTGCGGGGCGTGTTGCCCCGACCGGAGCGGGAAACGGATCAACGGGAACGATGGGTCGCCGGCGCCGCTTCGGCGACTCCCGCGGCGCTACGGCGGCTCTCAGGCGGAGATCGCGAGCAGTCGGTACAGCCTCAACGTCGAGGTGAACGGGTTGTCGCTCGTGACGCGGAACAACGACGGCATGGCCGCCGTGGGGACGCCGAACGGCAATAACAGCAATGGGAGGTCGATGACGAACTTGGTGATGCCCATCATGCAGTGTCGGTCCACCATGGTGTAGTGCAGTGGAGTGGCGACGGATTTTTACACCTAGAATTTTTGTCTCGGCCCCATGCTTCCAAATAAACATTGCGGCGGGAAGTAAATTGAGGTGAATATTGACCCTCAGGCTTCATATCAAAAAAAGCTGTTCATTAAAGTTCTGCAAATATCTTTTCTTCTTTTATAAACACAGAAAAAATTACCGTATTCACTGGAGTACCATGCGAACTTTTTTTGGAATCAATAAAGGAAAAAAGAGGGTGTGCGTAATGAGCAGGTTAACAATTTTCCACAATTTTTATAAGTTTTGGTGCTCAAAATGACAAAATGATTAATTATTTAAAATATTTCACCAAAGAATTATTTTTAATGAAAACACTGCAAAATTAATTCAATTTGGGTTCAATATAAGTCAAAATTTTGATACATTTCCTTTTCAAGATTTCGCCCTTTTTAGTCAATGAACATGAAGTGCGTGTCATGGTCGTGGATAGGATTTTATCCAAATTTCAGGACCAAAAAACCAGATTCGAATCTTAATCAAGGGCGTGTGGTACTTGAGTAGATAAGGTAATTCACGATTCCACAGCAGTGTACCTCCGAAACACATCGATTACCAAATTTTTGCAAATGTTCATAGCCAAAAGGCAATTAATTTCATAGTACTGTACTTTCACTTTTTTCCAAAAAAATAATGGGGATATAGGAGACAGTACATTAATATCGATTTGCTTATCAGGAAAATTTCCCTCACGTATGAAGTAAAACACAAGTTTAAATTCGAAATTCATGCTCAAAAGTCTGCAGTTCCGGAAAAACTTGACAACCAAAGCCTGTCAAAGCCTCTCTATACCCTCGTTCTGAGTATACAATACAGTACTAAAGCAGAAGTTGAATTCGTTAAAAATATGGAAGTGGGATAACCTTCGTAAAACTTAACAATCATGCCGGACGTCTCATATGATCTATGCAAATTTCATTTTCAGTTTTGCACTTCTTTAAATAAGACGTTAGTAGAACAATTTTTGCCGAACAAGAAAGATCCTCGCTAGACCTCGCACTCCAAGTCGTGAAACGCGTGTGCATCAAACATTGCTGCCTGACAATTGATCAATCGTTACCCATGCCAGTGTGAATTTTATGAAGTCTAGTCAAAAAAACCGTAACGTTAGTACATTACCTGAAGGAAATGTCTTCACGGAGAGAAAATCGAGTGAAGCGAACAATTTTGGTCTTTTTCTCGTGAAGGCTCGCCATCAGAATCGCTTGTGATTTTGTTGTAGAATATCAAGCCAGAGGTTACCCTGCAACCCTGTGAACGTTATTTTTTCGAGAGGTGGAGGATATGGTAGAAACTCAGTTGGAATCATTGATTTGAAAATCCTTCAACTAAAATGTTGATACATTTCAACAAGGATTATATCATAGTGATATTTTTAATGATGAAAATGGTGGCAGTTTTCCCCACAAAAAAGTTCCTTTCGGCTGAGGATTAACTTCGTTATGATGCATTCATCGAAACTTCGCACAATCCGGAACAGTCGGTTCTTTTTCAGGCAAAGATTATATCCGACATCGTCTGTCGATCATAAAATCTAAGTATTTTGTGCGATAAAATTTGAAGTCTTCCTGGGATCCGTATAAAAAAAAATCAAAAATTCTATTTTCTGCGTAGAATTGCGTCGTTTGATGGCGAATTCGTTGATTCTGGAAGACATAAGCGGATGGACAAGATTGTTTGAGAAATTGGGTCCGGCGCTATTTCCCCCCTCTTTTTTTCATCTTGTTGATCTGTGGCTACGAAAAGAACGGTTTCTCGTGAAGTTATAAGTCTTGATGAAAATGCTATTGATAAAATTCGCATGTCCTCGGATCTCTTGTGTTCGTGATCTCCATTCGTTTCTCGCTTCGAAAGAAGCAAAAGAGACGTCGCGGTGGCTCGGAAGAATAAAGCACACGAACGTGGTTGGTTTCCAACAAACGAAGAACTTGTTTCCTAGTACCGTTTCTCCGAAAGAAGACCAAGCACAGGATGAACACGACTAATCATGGCAATCGAAAGATCACGAGACTGAGCCAACGGAAAGGCTTCCTTGACGAGGAACATCTTCTTCCAGTACTCGGATATTCTTTTGTTCGGCAAGTAGCTTCTCGAGGAAATCGGAAGCAGATTCAACTTCTCCTGCTTTAACGGATAGTTTCTCCTGCATAGAAATAAATTGCATCAGTGATACTGAAACTCACAGACTTCCAAAAAAGCATACTAAGAAGGGAAAAGTACAATCGATGCTTTGCAATCTTTCCAGAGTTACACAATAAAGTAGAATACCATTTACGTCATCTTCTTATTTTCAGGAATCCAGATGATCGTTAAGAAATTCGATTCAGCTCGATTTCTAGGGGGAACAAAATGGCATGCATAATTTCAACTCGAACAGTTTCATATCATTGATTTAATAATCACTAATTAACATTCTGATCAGCGGGGATGTCGTCAATATTCCTCGACCATGATAATTCTCAAATCAAGCATTGTATTTCATAACAATTAAAGTACTATTCGATTATTCGGACAGAGCAACAAGTCCTTAGCCAGAAGATGATAAATTTTGTGAGATTNATGGGCTATGTCACGATTTTTTGTTTCAAACCCGAACACACCTAATCTCAGGGGTCGCGTCTAAATGGGACAAAACTCGTACATTACAATTATATGCAGCGATCACAGAGAATAGATTATGCCCTGCAGAACAGTGGGTCTTTCTCACAAAAGAAAAAAAAAAGCGACTTACACTTGGAAATTCCACTACATTCAAGGCAGGATCAGTGTGAGTGAAGGGATTCCATACTCCTTGAATGGATGGCGTATCAGTATACCATTGCTTCCTCAAACGTACCATTTGCTCTCCCGACTTGGTACGCATCAATTCTATCCACCGATGAACTTCTTCTCGATCCATGCTATGCAGTGAAATACTCCTTGAATGGATGGCGTATCAGTATACCATTGCTTCCTCAAACGTACCATTTGCTCTCCCGACTTGGTACGCATCAATTCTATCCACCGATGAACTTCTTCTCGATCCATGCTATGCAGTGATAACCAGTGGTGCTCCCCATTCACTAGAAAATAATAGAAATACGGTATAAAACACAACGCAATGCACTGATGTACAGTGCTTGAATCCGAAAACCCAGCGCAGAGAAAACGGGAGAGAATATATAATTCCAACTTAGATTACAAATCAAAGCCTCTTCTAAAGTTTTGGAAACATACTTCAAAATGCCTGCAGTAGATGAGCACTTATTTCATATTGATCATTCGAAAACGACGAACAGAAATTACGAACAGATCCTTTCTGATGAAAATTCGGCTCGAACAAAGTTTTCGCACGGTTGGAATCTGCTCGTCCTTATTTACCACCGGAAGGGAAGAAATGTTGGGATCTCCTCGGTAGAAACTTACGAAACTCAGCTTTCAACACAGGGGATCTGTGTCGACGAGGCTTAACGTACATCACCACTCCCGGGTTCCGGCGAGCAAAGTTTAGGAGATCCTGTTCGATGAAGTCGCTACAAGAATAGAGAACGTGTGAGTTGCACAAGAACTCCCGTGACACTAATGCGAACGAGGCTTAACGTACATCACCACTCCCGGGTTCCGGCGAGCAAAGTTTAGGAGATCCTGTTCGATGAAGTCGCTACAAGAATAGAGAACGTGTGAGTTGCACAAGAACTCCCGTGACACTAATGCGACTCTCGACACTTCGGACACATGTTCAACACATATGCAATAAAGAGAAATATCGAGCAGAATATTTCTTTCAACAATAAGTCGAGAATAAATCGTGTGAAAAATTTCTGAAAAACTATTTGATTACGCTTTTTTCTACTGGGTACACATAGATACTGTGCTCTGCAGCGAGAGCTTGAAAATCACATAAAAATTCTTACATAGTTTATCCAAATCAAATTTTTTTTCGTACGATTAGATTTCACCTGCAGTCATGAAGTCATTTTAATTTTAGTCACCTCAAGATTCGTCGGATTCCATTTTTCGCAAAGGATGATCATCGCAGCTTACAAGAGTTTATCACGGTTAATGTGAAACATTGGCAAAATTATACAAGTTTCTGCTTCTATTTCTATGCTTTGAAGTTTAAAAATTTCCCTCCTCCGCTTCTTCAAAAACTTTACGACTAATTTTGATGCATAGTATTTTTTTGCAGGTTTTTCTAGATTTTTAAAAGCTTTATGCCTGCTGAAAATGATGACTATTTCAGGCTCCCTGAAGAAGTGATTCAAAGACCGATGAATTCAAGTAGAATTTGAATATAAAATAATGAATTATAAAAATGACCAATATTTTTTTAAATGCGTTTTGAACGATTAGAACGGAACTTACCGGACTCCACGACTTCCACCATGTTCCTTGCAAAATTTCAAAGTCAGACGCTGCAATTGGCACACAAACCGACCGACACCATTATACAAGGGCGCTTTCAAATACCCACTTTTCAAAATCGGTCCGGAACTAGTCATTGCAATATGGTCTGAAAAAAATATTAAAATAAATCCAACTTGTTCAAAGCGAGAACATTTAAGTACAGCATAAAAATTTTCAATATTCTTTCATAGGATTTGGAAAGTTTTCTTCATCAACATTTGCGGCCCTCACAGTTCATTCCCGAAGTAGTTTCTCTTTTGCCCTCATCTGCGTGTTACTACCAGAAAGTGTCTACTCACAGTCATCACAGCTACACTATAAAACGGGTTCAACCCATTACCAAACAAAAATTTCTCTCACGAGGTGACGAAAGGTGCTGCATTTGGAATGTTTCAAATCCTTCATCGACAAAAAACTTTTTTGAATACCATCATAATTAAAAGATTCCCCGAAGAACAACGGGGAATTTTGGGCGGAAAACAATTAAAGCAAGCTCACAATGATTGGCACAAAATAAAAAAAATTTGTTCGCTGAGGACGTGTCCTCAAATCGCGAAAAAGAGGATGATGATGAAGATTAGAAAACCTGTCAATCCACTGATGGCCAACCATTGACGACGTTCTGTAAAGAAAAAAATACGTTATAAATTGCGAAAAATTATTGCATCGCTGTTCGAAAATCAATGATACACGTGAGATTAAACAGGACGATGCGTTTCAATTACAGGAAACGTTTCATTTGAGATTTCGGGCTCTGTTCGGTAGAAGCGGAACTCCGAAATTTGAAGTTTCCAAGTAAGAAGAGTTCGTAGAGACGCATAAAATTTGAAACTTGCCTGTAGATAAGCCAAGGAGTTTGGCAACCTTTTGAGAAGCAATATCAAGTTTTGACTTGGCTCTTCCAGCATCTTCGTTCATATCGTCAATGATTCTGAGAAAAAAAAAATGTTGAATCAAAGAATTCAGCTAACTCTCTGCTGGGGACATAGGAGGGTGGGTTAATCAGTTTCGCAAACCCTGGGCTTCCTTCAGATAGTAAATAAAAATGAACGAAATTTTAACTGGGTAAATTCCTGACAATCACGTTTCCAATTTATGCGCATCCAAGTTGAATTGAAAGGAAGACCATACACCCGATCACCGTGAAAAGATACGGTTTACTTTTTCAACTTGCTTGTTCATAGAATTCCAAAATATTTCAATTGCTATCAAATATTTTGAATAATTAAAAAACCCACTTAATGACCATGCCCAAGGTCGGACGTACACCTGGGCATGGTTCGGATTATGGAACAAACAGTATTTCTGATCTCAGGAATTTCTGGTGATGAATATTTCCCGACGTTGCAATCGTTGGATAAGAAGTTTATCAATTCACAGCTGAAATTGGAGAAATTCTTTCGCAAATGAACGCGGCTTTGCTTTGAATTTTGGTATTTATTCCACATTAGATCAGGAGGACTCTGAAAAATGCATTTCAATGGCTATGAAATTAATTTGAAGGTGCTGTGCTGCATTGAAAAGACATTCCAACTCGCCTTCGTACTTTGAGAACTACTGAATAGATTCGACACGGCTGTATACGAGGGGAACAACAACTTCTGTGTTGGACTCACATGGCTTGATCGTCGATTTCCACAGCAATTCGATTCGAAACATCTTTCAAACTGTCGACTGACTGCGAAATCTTGCCCAGCTGCTCCTCCTGGTGAGCTTCATGCCGTGCTCTATACTGACGAAACAACTCTGGGTCCGTTACATCGTCCTCGACTGATCCAAACGTGGAATCGGACGTCCCAGCACCAAGAAGAGGCTAAAATTTGTTTTAAAAAAATAGTAAAATGCCAGATGATCGTAATATCGTAATATTTTTATCGTAATATTCAAAATATCTTTCTGATAAAATACAGCATGAAGAAATAATTATTTCGGGACATTTCTTTCGTAGGAAGAAAAATACTAATTTTATACAGCACGAAGGTGCATCCTAATCATGTGAGTTAACACAAAAGATTAGAACAGTGTTCCGCAGCCCGGGTCCACGGGCCGGCCCTGGTTCGCAGAAATTTTTGCTCTCAGGAAATTTTCATCAGCATACCAAATTTCTCAAAAGTTTCAATGAAGTCTATTGTCTTTATCTGTAATTTCTGAAAGACCACGGCAGTTGAAATTTTCGGATGAAAAATAAAAGTTGTCTTTTCTCCTCATAACGCTTCAGACAAATTTTCATTCTGAGAAACCTTTTTTAAAGCTCAACTTTTCCATTTTCTTCTCAAGACATTCTATTACAGCTGCTTCATGGGTCCTCAATCTAATCTTCGCAAAAACTTTTCAAATACCTATCATACAGTCTTTCAAAGAAAACATTTTTGAGACTGCAAAATTTTCATGAAACTTTGCCGGTCCGCAGAATTTTTTCGTGGAAATTTGCCAGTCCGCAAAATTGTTTATAGAAGTTGTTGGTCCGCGGGCCCGGAAAGGTTGGGGAACACTGGGTTAGAATACCGTACATAGAGACCCAGGCTTCAATTAAAAAGGGCTAAACTTGAACAGTACAATATTAGCGGGAGATAAACAAAGCAACCTGTACATTTGCACTCGAGATTCCGAATTTCCTTTGATCGATATACTATCGTCGCCCTTATCTGACAGCACATTGACATTAGCGCAATTGCACAAATGTGAATATATTATTAGCTCAGGGGATTTTAAAATGAAGATCTGTCGAGTAACTTTCGGAGCATTCGAATACTGTATCTGATATTCAATGTACTCGGAAAAAGGTACCCAGACATTAGCCTCCTTATTCGGAATTCCACAAGATAATCGGATTCGTAAATTATACAAAACTTTTGTCAAATGAAATAAATTTTAAAAAATTAATCACTGTTACTTCGCAACATACATTCTGAACTTTAGCTAATCGATAAATAATCGGATTTCCAAAAATGGCCTTAAATCACACTTTCAAAGCTGAAGAAGAATCTTTCCATTCAGCCTAATTGTTTCAATGAACGGAAAGCGAAGAAGTCGGCCACTTTCCAAGCAGAAGTCCCTGTTCGGTTCGTGCGTAACCAAGATTGGACCATGAAACTCCTGTCTTCTTTTCTCCCACATGTAATTACTCCCCGATCATCAGGTGAGTCCCGCGGATACATTAAGAACCGGAAGCAAGGAAATGAAAAAATTCAAGTGCACCGGCAGTGAAGAAAAAACGCCGTTGGCCAGCGAGGATCTACGTGTCCACGGGTGAATACATTATTAAATTCGTTCTATGTTACATGAAAAACACAACATGTTCAGTACTGTATCTAATGAACAATTCAAGAATTTAATAATCACAGCATCCATCCATATGACGAACCATTCATAGCCAATAGAAAATTGTTCGATTTAAATTTGTTTCTCCCGTACAATACCTTCAGATTTTTTCAACCTCGTTTTTCTTACAATCTTTAATAACCCAGGAAGTAAGAAATTAATAAAAAGATCAGATGCTACTTATACAGTATGCTAATGAAAGGAAATTTGATTTCTAGTAAAGTACTCGAATGAGAACAAATTTATGTTGAATACAATACAGTACTTGATTTTGTGCGTCGAAGAATGAGCATTTTAATGACAACTCTTCCGTCAAAAATTAATTCAACATAGTTCTCTGAGATAATGAGTAACAAGCTTCGTAAAATTACAATGCTTATACAGTATTTGAATGATTTAATCACTGCAATACAGTACTCACATTTTCGTGGGATTATAGAAGCAAAATAGATTTTATACATCAGAATGCTTTAAATTTGGAAATAAATTCCTCTCCCATCAAATACTGTACTGTAATGCCTTCCATCCACCATTTTCTGCCACGTATTTTCATTAGGCTTGAAAACAAATCCTAATCAACTCACCTTCCTGGTTCTAATTAAAACGTAACTCCCTTGGCCCAACTTTTCCTGTTAAGTAAAAAAAATAACATCTATAACGTGAATATGTGGTATAAAATGCGTTTATACCGAAGGAGACTTGAAGGTTTCAGTTTCAATAGAAGCGTACAAAATCCAAAAACCTTTATTTTTTCAATTAAATTGTCCATTCTATTCAAGGAATGTATCTTCGTCTATTCATAATCCCAAATCTCAAAAATCAATACTCAAAGGGTAAAGATAAAAATTGGAAAATACTGCAAGGAAAACGGATGCATGACCATCAAATATAGAAAGACAAGAGCTGGAAGAGAAGTTTCATTTATTTCTTGTAGTCTTATGGGCATCAGGTTTTCAGATCAAGCGTTTCGTGACACGCAAACAAACGATAAATCCGTCTCACAACAGGAAATACTGTACTTCGAACTTTTTCTAAATCAATCTTTCTGAACTTCAACTGTCGTCCTCGTACATCACGTGGAAGATATTGTTTCCGATTAAAAACGTGGAATTTTCCTTCAAGAAGAAGCGCTCGGGTTTAACGTGAAATGCATTACAGTCCAGTACTTGGGATAGGCAGTACCAGGGTTAATCTGAAAATGTTTTCCCCTTGCTCCCATCGTTGCGTCTCGTTGGACGGATGGATAAAGGTTTTAAAGTTTGGTGAGTTGCAATAGATTATTTATGAAAGATGATTCCGATTTTTTTGCTTGCCAGGTTGAAAGAAATTTAAACGAGATTCAAAAGTGCACCGCAGTACCTTCCTGAATACGTCTCCAACTTACTAGTGGTCAGTTTTTGTTCAACTGAATGCAAAAACTGTACTTCGATATTTGTCCAGGTCTTGATTTTGGCAAAAATTCTATATTACTGTATACGGTATTTTTTCCTGTGTTGGATGAATGTTTCCAAAATAGCGTTCTTTCTGCGTCTGTTATATTAGGAGCAAATATCGAAAAATTATCGTCTACTGTGGCACACAGAAGGTCCTCCCCCTCCGAAATGTGGCCCTTGTCCGCAAAAAAAAAGTGCGTTCATGTGGCCCTTCGCCAAATCTGAGTTGGGCAGCCCTGCAGTACAAATCATGCCAATCATTAATGAATAATTTCGCCTGCCACTGGTTAAAAAGGCCCTGATCTCTGAGCAATTTGGGTACTCTGACAAGTTCCATTTCATGTAATGTATTTACAGTACTTGAGTACCAACACA